TAAACGGAAGCCTTATTTATATTATTAATAGAAACATCAACAATTACATTGAGTTTGAATAATCCCTCAGCCAAGCAACCCTTGCCTACAAACATTCCTCCCTTGCTAAGCACGAATTTGTCGGATTCGAACACTAACTTAAAGCCCTTGTTGCTTAACAAAGGTCCTGAAACTAAGTTCTTCCTAATTTTAGGAACATGGAGAACATTCAGCAAGGTAAGTTCCTTCCCAGAAGTGAACTTTAATACAACTCTTCCTTTTCCAACAACTTCTGCAGTGGAGGCATTCCCCATATAAAGCTTTTCACCACTTGAATTTGGTTCATAGGTAGAGAACAAGTTTTGTCCCCACAAATATGCCTCGTTGCTCCGGTGTCAATCCACCAATCATTTGTATCAGATACCATGTTGGTTTCTGAAACAACACCAACCAACATATCTCATTCAGTCACATTGGCTTCGTTGGTCTTGCCATTGTTGGTGTTTGAATTGGTAGATTTCATATCCTTTCGGAAACGACAATCTTGTGCCCTATGCCCCGGTTTTCCGCACACCCAACATGCTCCTTTGATTTTTTTGATGTCCTTTGCTTTTGGTGCATGGATAGCAGAGTTGTTTTTCTTTTTGGCATTCTTCTCCTTGTTTTTCTGGAAATGCTTTGGCCTTGGATTGCTAGCCTCAACGAAGTTGGCCTTGGCGTCCATGGAAGACGCATCAGCTTTGTCGCCTTTCCTGTGATCTTCTTCGACCCTTAGCCTGAGAATTAAATCTTCCAGAGACATCTCCCTGCGCTTATGCTTCAGGTAGATTTTAAAATCATTCCAAGATGAAGGTAGTTTTTCAATGATTGCCCCAACTTGGAAGTGTTCATTAATAGAGCATCATTCAGCATGTAAATCATGGATTAAGCATTGGAGTTCTTCAACTTGGCCCATGACAGGTTTGAAATCCACCATGTTGAATTTTAGAAATTTACCAATGATAAACTTCTTTGATCCAGCATCTTCAGTGATATATTTCTTGGTCAGTGAATCCCAAAGGTCCTTGGCAGTCTTGCATGATGAATATACATCATACAGACAATCGTCCAGCCCATTCAAAATATAGTTTCTACAAAGAAACTCAGAGTGAGTCCAAGCGTCTATTGCAGACAACATGTCGTTATTCGCTGGTAGTTCAGTTACCACATGAGCCTTCTCCTTCACAACATGGGCTAGGTTCACTGATATTTGATCCATCATAACAATTTCTGTCTTTAGATTGTTGGAAGAAACAATCAGAATACAACTTTATTGATAACAAATTATAATATACAACTGAAATAACTATAATCCAATATTGTATTACAACCAATTCGTATTGAAATATTGTAAAATAAAAGAGACAAGAAAGTAGAAAAACTGACTTGATCGAAAAGATAGAGGCCTGCAGATTTGCAGTGTCCTAAAGACAGAATTGCGCCCCTACTCCGTGCTTGTAGTTCAATGGGCGTTCGTCCCCCAAGATCCAACTATCTATAATTCAAAGTTCCAGCACCGGAACTTTGAATTCTGGCGAACCTTTGAATGCTTTCTCTTCCAAATGATATGTATCTTATATGCAGTAGATGTATATTATTATATCTCATTTTTCGTGTCTGACCTCTTTGCTATTATATAAGATATTAGGTATCCCTTCCCAACAGGTATTAGGAAGTTAAGAAACTGCCTGCATAATCCAAATTCAAATTGAAGAGATAAGTATGAAAATTTGAATTTGGCTTATCCAAATACCTGTTGGGTCTTATACCAACTGACCTATATAAAATATTATTTGCACCAAATTACTATTAATATGAAGATTATAATATCAAGTATCTTGACAATATATACACTAACGATATATATATATGTGACAATTTGCATACAAACTCCAACAACCCCGACCGGAATTGAAGCATGCTGGCCGTCATGTGAGGGTGACGTAGCCATGTGCATAGTGCGGAACCAATAAAGATAAGAGTTATACGATAAATAAAAACCGAAAGTTACTAAAGTGCAAAAAATAACCGGAAGTGCTAAGAGTGAAATACAAGTGTAAATACACCTAATCAGAGCGTAGAAAGTCTCGGTGCAGTCTAGTAGGACAAGTACTAGTCATACAATACCATAAGTTGTTCTACAATTATTTTAATATGTCAGAACCGCCTGAATCCTTGTACGTCACCAACAGCAACCTACCTAAAACCTGGAAGGACGCAAAACAGAAAACGTGAGTGGGCAAAAACAAATGTTTTACAAAACCATTTCATTTCTCAACAGTTCTAACCCCTCGCCGTAAAACATGTATAATTTTTCCCAGAAATAGAATATAAGCATATGCATAAATGTATATATAATTATCTCAATTCAAATCATGCCTCACATAATCATATTCATAAGCATGCCATGCCAAGATATAAACAGAATAAGTAATTTAGGTGAGAATAAATACATGGAAGATGACATATTAGCCGGTACCTCTACATAAGTCTGTACGGCTAAATTCATAGGTCATTAGTCAATCTAGCCAGAGTCACTATTATGACCTATACGGCACTACACTGCACATAAGTCAGAACCACTAAAAGGTCTGTACGACAAGACTGGGTGTAATATAATTATGCTCAATACCACGCTCTTATGATAGCTGGACGATAAGTTGCTAGTCACCTACGAGTCGAAACCACCGATGATAGTCTGTACGACAAGACTGTGCACCTAAATTGGATCCAATATGAGCATATGGTGCATGAGGTGACATTATAATAACAGACTTGTACCATATCTTAGGCTAATTATTAAGACCCTAGGTGCAGGTTTATAAGCTCAATACTTCTCAAATAATTATAACCGTTAATCACATTCAAAATTCATAACTCACCTGGGCTTACCTGAGCGTCCCCAGCACCACAATTATATATTATGCATCATATACTAATTCATATACAAAATATAATTTATATGCATGGCAGTCAAGGCATACTTTCATTTAAACGCATTTTTTGGAAAAATATCAAGTACATAAGTATATACTGAAAACCAAAAGCTCACTCACTGGTATGTCGAAGGGTCGTAGCCCCCGAGTCACCCTTGACTACGCTCGTCCTCGGGATAAGCCTCCCCTATATGCGAAATAACTATAAAAATGTTATTTAAAGCTCATAGACAAAACTAGCTAATAATTTCTCATACAATGCTCAAATGGGGTGTTTGAATATACCAACGTGATCTACGCAACCTCACGAACATCTCCATATTTTTAAAATAATTTTCCGACCACCCATGTGCGGCCACGTGCCGGCGAGTGCACGGCAATACGCGCGGCCACGCGTAGGGAACCCTAACGGAAACCCTAACTGCCATTAGGAATATTCTGTTAAATAGTAACAGAATTCGTTAGTTTTACCTGACGACGTCGGAATATTTCGTCAACTTTGACGGAATATTTTATCTTCTTCTCCGGCTAGCCTCGCCGGTCGCCGCTTGCCAGAAACTGAATTTTTTTCTAAACCTTTATATCTCAGTCGATTTTCATCCAAATTCCATGAAACTAGAACCAAAATGATCCTTATCTAAAGCTCCCTAGAAGCTTAAAACTTCTTAAAAACCCTGCAATATTTAGTGCATGAAATATGGGGTTATGGTTTCTCGGGTTTTTGAGGGTTTCAAGATCTAAAAATGGTACGAATGGACTCAGGAGCTTGTAGGGAACAAGAATATTACCTTTTGAACGTCGATCCGTGCGTGAAAGCTTGGGTTCGAAGTTCATCTGCATAGGGAGAAAGGAGAGAGAGTGAGTCTGAGGAAGAGAGAGCACGGGAGAGAAGAGAGAGAGAGAGAGAGTTTGTGTGTGTGTGTGGTCCACGTGGGTCACCAACCAACCAAGGAATACACTTTAAGTCCTAAGTGTTCCAAAACTTAGGAAAATTTAGAATTTGTCCAAAAATTAAGAAAAACACAAGTTTGGACCACCTCTAACATGCCTAATACACACCACAACACTCACGTCCAAGGGTAAAATAGTCAATTCACATCATCGATAATTTATTTCGGGACGGGCTGTGACACATAAATTATAACATTATAATTAATTATAGTATGGTTATAAATTTTCTATTTTAATAAATTAAATATATTATTAAATATAAAATAATTATTAATTATTAAATAAATAATATAATTATTGGGAAAAACTTATAATTTCTTTCAAACTTAATATTATATGATTGTTGAATGTTAATGCATAATGAAGATTTATAATTAAATTTATTGCACATGTGGCATAATCTTATTGAGTGTTAAGATCACATATGTTTTAGGAGGCGGCCTATAAAGTTTCAGAGAGAAGAGAGTTTACAAGTCAAAGTAGAACGAATTTTGAGTTTCAGGGAGTAAAGCATGCGCGCTGACTTTTGAGTTATACGGGTCAAGGTGAGATCAAAATGTAGTTCCAGAGGCATAGCTAAAAATAAGCCTTAACTATATATGGGGTTTCCTTATTTTTTTTTTTCCAAGCATAGAATCGTCTTTTAAAGGATGAAGTGAAAGTGAATTAAAACCTTAAGGGGATGTTAGTGTTATTTTTCAAACATGAGGGATTTTGTGAAAATACGATAAACCTCATGGGGTCTTAGTGTTATTAACTCTTCATTAAACTCATAACATGAGATTAATTAATGAGTCATCATGCGTTATTTCTTATAGCACAAATTAAATAGAGTCCCTACATGGGTATAATAGTCACATATTTTATTTTAGAAGTTTACATTTCAAAATTCAAATTGTGCACTCCTGATAATAGTATTTTTCTCCTATATATAAAAATTACTCCTATATATAAAAATTATGGAGTGCACAGTTAGAGTTTGGAGTGACAATGACTTGAAGAGAAAAACCCTACACCAAGCAGGTCAATCCAACAATTCCTATATTTTATTTCACTTTTGTCCCGTAGGTAACCATGCCAACTGCCAAGGCCGGCACTATCTTTATTCCAACTCTGATAGAACAAAGTCCACTTTATATGTGCACTAGTTTTACCTTTCATTGTGAGGCTAGATACGATTTGAGAAATGGAGAAGCTTGTTTCAAACTGGTACAACAAGCGAACCTTGCCCGAGAATTACATATTCCCACCAGACGCAAGACCCGGGAAGCTTGCTACCGCTCCTTCGTGCGACAACATTCCAGTGATTGATCTGGGCGGTGATCAAACCTGTATAATTCAGCAAATACTCAAGGCTAGCCACGAATATGGGTTTTTTCAGGTAACTTATTGGGACTTCAAACTAAATACTCTTCCTTGATCATCAACTAATGCTATTTATAAAGCAGGTTATCAACCATGGAATATCAGAAAGCTTGTTGAAGGACACAATGGGTGTGTTCAAGGAGTTCTTTGAGTTGCCTGCAGAGGACAAGGCAGCTGTCTACTCTGAGGACCCAAAAAAAATATGTAGACTCTTTACCAGCAGTGGAAATTATGATTGGGAAGATGTTCATCTTTGGCGTGATAACCTACGACACCCTTGTCTTCCTTTAGAGGAGAGCATGAAGCATTGGCCTCAACAGCCAAGTACTTATCGGTAAGTAATTAAGATCGATCTACCAAATTAAGATATATAGAGCTTGTATTAGCTAAAAGTGATTTTTGAGATTTTTGACAGCCAAAAGTGCTTCTGACACGTGTTAGAAAATGTCAGGGAAACGATTTCTCACATGCCTCTTTTCTCCTCTTACACATCCATTTTCATATATGTCTATTAACTCTCCTTGATTTATTCAATTTGACAGTTAGAATCAAGGGTGTGTAAAGAGAGAAAAGAGGTGTGTGGAAATCATTCTCCAAAACTTAAAAACTCTTTTTACATAAGCCCCAGGAAGCACTTCCAATGATTTTTAATAAAAATGGCTACATCTTTATGAGCAGACGTTCTACCTACATAAAAGATCTTATAGATTCATGTTTTGAAATCTCCCTTTGTTTTTGTTACATATATATGTATGATATGCTTCTGTATCTTCAAGGATTAATTAGTGATGTTATGTATTTCAGAGAGCTTGTTGGGACATGTTCCTCACAAGTGAGGAAACTGGCTCTGAACATTTTGGAGCTAATCAGTGAAGGACTTGGGCTTGGAACTGGGTATTTTAGAGATGAACTTTTGAAAAATATGTTACTCTTTGTTAATCATTACCCGCCTTGCTCAGACCCAAGTTTGACATTAGGTGTATCTAAGCACTGTGATCCAAACCTCATAACCATTTTACATCAAGAAGAACACGTAAATGGACTTCAAGTTTTCAAAGACGGGGAATGGATTTGTGTGAAGCCTCTTTCTGATGCACTTGTGATTAACATAGGCTATCAGTTACAGGTACATCAGTAGATTCAGTACCCTTCTTTACGCTGAAGATTATTTCGCTGGTATTATTGATTCTGTATTACCATCTATACTTGACTACATAGCGCTGTCAATATCATGTCGAAATAGGGGCCTGATAGTAGTTCCATAAATATGTTCATCAACCTTCTCTTAATTACCATATGACAAACTATTTTTTTTATGGTATGGGGGATGTAGATAATCAGTAATGGGAAGCTGAAAAGTGCTGAACATCGGGCAGTGACGAGTTCAAGTAATGCCCGGACATCTGCTGCATTTTTCATCACACCTTCAGACGATTGCATTGTAGAACCTGCTGGAGATCTTATTAATGCAAGCAATCCACAACTCTTTAGATCCTTTCGATACAAAGAGTTCATTATGAACTATCTTACGAAGCAGGGCAAAACTGAAGTTGTACTAGAACCCTTTAAGCTCCATGCTTAGTTAATTATGAAGCTGTGACTGGGGAAAACACAAATTTATTTGGGTGGCAATGGTCTCAAATTTATTTGGGTGGATTAATAAATATTGTAAAATTTGTTAAATAGAGTACTTTTTATTGGAAGTACTACATATGTACTAGTATTTGTGTTCAACCATTGCGAATTATGATTGACATTAATTAATCATTAAGTTATTTAGAGTTTGAATTCTTCCTTTGATCATCAAGTTACCATTGTTCAAATACTTCTTTGAGTTGTCTGCATGCAGAAGAACGCTTACCAAATTGGTCTCAACAGCCAATTAGATATCGGTAAGAAGGAGCCGCCGGGCAGTACCATGGCACAGTACCACGACAACTAATTGAATACCAACATATACAAGAGTTTCTCTTGGATCTATAGATATGTCAAACCCATCACATAAAACAAGAAGTAAAATCTTTATTCAAAACTGTTATCAGTTCCTCTTACATAAGTACCCATAACAAACAAGCAAAAAGAAATATTATTTCATAAAAGTAACATATAACGAATCAAACTCCTAAGTTCTAAATAATCTCAACTTGAAACTTTATCCTTCTCTTGGTAGCCCTAATATTACTTCTTTAACTCAATTTGCTCCTTCATTGAACCTTTTATTCACATCACGTTGTGGAGCTCTCTTAAGATCAACTCTATTATTGGGAGGTCGGTACTTTTTTGGTGCTGGCGGGCATGACACGTCTTGTGGGCGTATGAATTTGCTTCCTTTAGTTGTTGGAGTTGTTGAGCCTACTTCAGACATCTTGATAATTAAAATCGACTCAAGCTACACTTTCGCACCAAACAAACACCAGGCAAATTGAAGCACACTGTATTATATTCTCCGTAGGCTAACCATTCATGCTTGACCTGAATGTTAGATTCAGGTAGTTTTTCTCTTATCTTTAGTTTTTGTGTTTTTTTTATTTTTTTGTTTAAGCTCAGGCTTGAAGTAACATTCATTGTTATGTTCTGCTAGTGACAATAATTGCTGAAATTTTTTAGATTGACGGGCCTAGGAGGGCCCACTATAACGACATCAATACTGTCTCCAACTTTACCACCTACCCAATCCATCAGGTGTGAGGTTTTATCACAGAATGTCTCGGTATTGGTTAGAGTAGGATAATCGTATTTAAAACCACTCTTGTTGACTTCCCCAACCGATATGGGATTGCCAACATGCCCCCTCACGTGAAACCCCATTTAGTGGTTCACACGTAGATCCACACATCGGCAATTGAAACTCAGAGGTCGGCTCCAATGGAGTCCAAACTTGTTTTCAATCTTTTTCAGGAAGGGACTCTTAAGAACTTAGAGACCGACTCTAATCTAAGAGTCCAAGCTTGTTTCCAAGCCTACACTTCCTGGTGACAATCCTTTGGCTTGCACGGGCTAATAACCATGGGTTCTGATACCATGTTGAAATTTTTAGATCAAAGGATCCGGGGGGCTCACTCTAACGACATCGATACTGTGCTCAACTCACCACTTGCCCAATCCGTTAAGTGTGGGGTTTTACTACAAAAGACCTCGGTATTAGTTAGAGTATGGTAATCATATTTAAAGCCAGTTCAAGTTGAAGTGTTGTTGTTCTGCATTGTCGGTATCATTATTGGATCTGTTTGAATTGGATGTCAATTAAGTTCAGTTTAGTGGGTAAGAGTTGGGTTTCGAATGAACTAAATGTGTGATCTAGATAGGGAGTACTTGGTGCTGCCTCATATTCTGCGTGTATAGATGCTTATTACATTTTCTGAGACCTCACTGATTGGGAATTTATCTTTGTTGATTAACAGAAATTTGACCAAGAGGTGTGCCAAAAACTTGTCTTTCTGGATTTCCGTAATTGGGATATAGGGTTAGTGCTTGTGTTTCTAGACCATGCGAATGGGGAGTGTACGCTTTTCCGTAACTCGGAGAGGGAGGGAAATCAACATGCAGAGTTGCTACGATGGTCTAGTCCAGACCCAAGTACCCACCCAGGGACATTCCGGAAGAAGTTTGTTATAAATGTTGTGAAATCAGGGTATAAGAATTTGGATAGAGTATGGCCATTGTTTTCTTGCACCATGGGAAAAATATGTGTTGTATGTGCAAGTGTGTGAGAGAGAGAGTCGGGGAGAGAGAAATCTGACTGAAAGTATCAAGATTTTATTTGATTATGAAACCTAATGTGCTAATACTTGCTCTTAATGATTTTTTGTAAGAATATCCGAGGCATTGTGGCTTGGTGGAAATCTTTAGGTGGCTTGGCCGTATGTGATATATGACTCCACTTTAATTCTGTGGATTTTTCCGGAAAGAAACAACTAAGGGAGGGTACGCTCTTGAACTCGTTCTGATTTGCTATGACTTCGTTTGCGTTTATGCTTTTTCAGGATGAATGCTACTATCTATATTTTTCACCACAAGGTGAATGCAGAAGACACAGCTTGAAATCTTCATGTGCTCATTTATATTGAACTACGAAAAACTTATTATTCTGGTTACAGAAAAGTTTTAAAGTTTCACAATTTGAGGGATACGTGATGACTTCATTTGGATGGTTATGGCAATTTAAATTTATGACTTAAATGGCACAGGTTCTACCAGAACATAACGCAACGATGTTTTAGTTTACTTTTTCTATTTGATTGATTGTGGTTCACACAAGCGAAAATCTTGTTTATCTTTCTTAAGTAATATATTAAAAATGTTGAGAAATGCATGGTTTTATGGGACTATCAGTAGTTTAGTACAAGTAATTCTCTTATGGGATTACATTCTTTTATGTTCACTATTGTGTATGCTTATTGATGTCTTTTTGGACGCATGCATCTGCCCCTAGTTTATGTCCTTTGAATTTCTTCCTCGTTGTTATTTATTTGATCTTTGAATGATAATTTTACTTTTTGCTTATGTTGCTTCCACATAATAGTTGAAGTGTTGCTGTCTACTGCATTTCAGATATGACATGGCTTCAAACCGTTGGCGTAAGAAGTCACGTATACCAAGACAGGTCCCATGCGACTCAGCATTTGGATTTGTTGTATTGAATGGAGAGTCGCATGTAATAACCCTTTTGAAGGCAGCTGAATCAGCAGAAATCCGAAGGTCGCAACTGCATAAGAGAGCGGGAACACTTTATATCCAAATCTACCATCCTAAGAAGAATACATTGAGATCTCTCATAACAAAGTCACCTTTCCATTACAGCTTGGATTTCAATACTGCAGTTATGGGCACCATTCGCTTGTGAATCTCGATTCTTATTGCTTGTACTTGTGTTGTGTTGTGTTGATAATTGTACCGATTGATGTGCAGCGCTGTCTATATTGGTTCATCGGGGTCATTGCTGCTAGCATATTTGTATAGTCTTGAATGTACAGCTAGCAGACCGATACAAATACCCCACCTGTTAGTAAAACGGTAATTAGACAAGGTTGAATACATTTGAGTTTCATATATTGTATCAGTTCCTTTTCCAGAGAACAGATAATTATGTGTGTGTGTGTGTGTGTGTGTGTGTAATTAAGTCCTGTTGAATAGCTTTGTTGCTTGTGCACCAATCAATCTTTCCCCTTTTCGTGTTACATCTATAGTTGATCTGTTTATTATGATTTCCAAGTCCGGTTTCTGGGTTTGTAGCTTCATCGAGTATTTACTCTGCCGTACTTATGATACTTTACAACCAAGGACAGAATCAGACTCTCATTTCCCCCTCACTTTTGAGAACAGTAAAATGGCTCGTGTTAGGAACTCTAGTCGTTTTCCCATCAAATGAAGTCTTTTCGGAAATTTAAAAAAAAAAAAAAAAAAAAAAAAAAAAGAAATTCGTGTAACAAGTGAAGTCTTTTCGGAAGTTCCGATCAACTAAAAGAAAGGTGTAAAAGTGAAGCGTGGGCAAAAGTTGAGACCAAAATGCAGAAATTCCAAGTAAAGAAACGTTTCCACCAAGTTTGTAATACATGACGGAGCAACTAGTGCGGCTAAAGAAGAACTAACTGGCCGTGAAGAATGGGGTATAAGTCCAGACTTAAACCAGATACAGCGTTAAACCGCAACATGTATCGCAAGTTTCACTTTTACACATCTATGACTTCAAACCTGAGATATAGTAGATTCAAAGTCCTAACATACAACCGTAAGTCAACCCAAAATATTTTATTAACATTTTGGCCAAAAGTTCGGGAGAAAAAAGAGGGAATCTTCTTTCTTGCCAGAGATACATCCCTTTTTATTAGTCGCACTAATCATGTGACATATAAACATAAAAAGATATATCTCTACAACATTCATCATGTGTAAACGTAAGGAGATATCTCTGTTGTAGGTCTCAAAGTGAAGGCGTTGCAAGGTCCATAGTAAGTGCAAAGACGCATATACTGTGGGTCTGATTTTGATTTCTTTGTCCCCCAAAATGCATGCCAATAATATAATGAAAAATTATTTGTAAGACTCGTGCTAATACATGTAAGGAGAGATTCAAACTTAAGAAATTTGAAAATTTTGCTTTGAATACTACTATCATAGATCAAACTCATTTTTTCTGTTATGAGTCCTGACCCATTCAAATTTTAATGCTGTCCACAATAGAAAAAGAGCACATTGGTGCTTATAAATACCCATATATCTAACCCTCCACATAACACATCCTTCATATTTTTAAGCTAGCTATCTTTGTTTAATATCCATAAATATAAGATCAATAGATCACCATGAGGTTTCTTAATGTTTTATTCACAGTTACAACAGTTGTATTTCTCATGAGCATGAACTTGCATGAGGCTAGTGCAGGCAGGGTGTTGCATGATGAGAAAGAAAACTTGATGACGATGGGCAACTACATCGTGTTGGAGTCGAAGCAGAGGGCCGACCATCCTCCTCCTGGTGGATCTAATCCGAAGGTCCCTGCTATGTCGAATGATCTTGACAGTTCAACGATCAACCAAAGGAACTTTGCAGGCCACACAACTACTCCGCCTTCTCCACATGATGTATACCCCCATAATGCCGTGGCTACAGATCATAAATCATTTAGTTGATTAACAATATCTACAGAAATCCCAACCTAATACGATGCATCAATGTGATGGAAAATACACGAATAAGTAGAGGGGAAAAACCTAGTTTAATTTTTCACATT